CTGTGCTTTGCTAAGCTTGTTCTAAGTAGGTGATTCAGACCACTGAGCCATCTCACCAGCCCTTGGAGCATGTCTTTGAAGATGCTGTCACCCACCCCGTGGTGGCTGTGACTTTGATGGGAGCGGACCTTGAGGATCTTGCTGCCCCTGTTTCTGACTCCTCCAGTGTCTGTCTTCAGCACTGGGCCTTGTCCTACACCTCACCTCCAGCCGTCTTTCCTGGACGCTCACTGGGAGTTGGCTTCCCTCTCCCTGAGCTGCCCGTTAAATTCCATTTTTCTTCCTTCACCACTCTCCACCAGGACTTGGGCGCATCTCTTATGTGCTGTGTCTTTCCTTGGTCCATTCCATTGGCCTTTGTGGACTTAGTGCTTTTATTATATTGTTGTCATTCTCTGTTCAGAGAGAACTGGGAAGAGAGAGAATGATGGGACCTCTACTCACCCTTGTCTCAGCCATAGGTCTCCATTTATATTCTCAGAATGGCATTTTTGCTACAGCTTCAAGAACAAAGACTGAGGCCAGAGGAAAAGGACTGTGAGATTCATCACCAGATGGGATCAGCAGCAGGGGCTATATGCGGGGCAGGGTGAGGAGCAGCACCTGCCTTGGGCTGTTGGCCTTTGGAAGGGGGCAGGGCTTTCAGAAAACTTTTTTCACATTCATTGTCAAAACTTGCAAAGTACAGGCAGATGAAATGGAAATAAATTCTGCACACACCCCATCATATGCCTTCATTCGGCCTCGTTACCAGTCCCCAGGCATGGCGCGTGTTGGCTGGTGCTGACTGGGCTGGTGGAGATCCTCAGCCAGGTAGTGCCTCTGGGGGAGGCAGCAAGTTACAGGACTGGCTTCCCAGGGTCTGGGAGTTTACAGGCTCCCTGTTAATTTCAGTAATCACAGGATGTGAAAGGTCAGCACTTATTTCACAGTGTTAGCACCTGCAGAGAGGACTTTTAAAGCTGCCTTCAGGTTTTTTTTTTAAATTTTAATCAGTTGCCACTTTGTAACTTTGTAGTTTACACCCTCAGCACCCCAGTGGAAAAGAAAGCAGGAAATGCACTTAGGGCAGGTAGTTCATTCCCCTTCTTTTGTTGTGATCCTTAAGCAACAAAGCACAAAGGAAGAAGACCAGCTGTGATGGTCGCTGGAGCAATCTCCTGGGCCCCCCTCCACCCCTTGCAGGGCCCTGTTTCTGTGTGGCTTTAGTCTTCAGAACAAAGTCCAAAAGCTTTGTTTTTCTATAGTCACAGTAGGTAGTAAAAGAGGTACAAAGAATTCCTCATAATAAGAGCTTGCAATATTCCCTGATTGCCTCTTAAAAAAAAACCCAAACAACTTTTGTAATTAAGTATAAAATCTGACATGACTTCAGGGGCTTGTGCATATGTGCACTCACGTGGATGGTAAGTGATGTGGGAAGCCAAGTCAGAAGTGCACGGCCTGGAGGGCACTGCAGGGCCACTCCGCCCACGCACATCAGGCCTCGTTGGCGCCTGGGCCAGTGCAGGTCCTGCAGCTGGCACACAAGTCTTTCTTCTAAGCCATTCTTTGGAAGTATTCCCCTTTCTTTCTCCTACTGTTTTTATTCCTTGGTAGCTTACAGTATTGCATGGAAAAAAGAAAATGGGATATGGTCTATATTTTTATTATGGTAATCGCAGGGGGTATACAAGCGGTTCTTCAGTCCCGTCCCCCCCCCCCCCAATCCTTACAACTCTTTCTAGAGTGTGTGACAGTATCAGTAAAAAACAAAACCATGCGCCTCACCAGTGTTTTCAGAACCTCCAGTTGAGTCCTGGGAGGCCTTGCTGAGCGAGCAGGCACAAGTAAGTGGAGCGGTGAGTTCCAGTTGGGCTCCCCCAGCCCGTGGCTTGTGCTCAGCTCCATTGTCTAAGCTCCAAAGGAAGCCGCTCCTAGAGACTCTGGTCCTGGGCCCTTGGTGCTCAGGCCATTCCCAGAGCCTGGAAGTGCTGTTTTTTTTTTAAGCATTCCCAACTGATGTGCTCTGGTCTCAAGTTTATCCCTCTCATATGTAGAAAACCTTTCCATAATTCTGTCTACAGAATTGTTGGTCAATTCTGCTGCTTGAGTCATGTTTCTTTAAGCAGTTGAGGTCTGTTAACTTTTAATGTCATTGAGCTACTATTGGTTGTGCTTTATCTGGAGCTTCTGTGTGCTGTGGCTCATCTAAAAGGAGTCCTAATATTTAGATTTTGTCTGTAGAGTTAATAAATGTATAAAGAGCAGTAAGAATGGGGTCACTCGGTCATGTGGCATTTGTTTATTTATTTATTTACTTGATTTTATGTATTTGGTGCAGAGCCTCACTGTGCAGCTCCACCTCATAGTGATCCTCGTGTTTCAGCCTCCCCAGCACTAGGCTTGCAGGCATGTGCCACCACACCAGCATGGTGCCCAGAGGCGGGGCCAGCAGAGCATGTAGTACTGGGGATCCAGCTGAGGTCCTTGCACTTGCCTAGGCAGGCGCTTAGACTGCTGGGCTGAGTTATCTCTGTGGCCCAGTCGTGTAGTATTTAAATAGTAATATTAACTGTTTTGTCCTTTACAGATGCAGCAGCTTTTTTATGAGAATTATGAGCAGAACAAGAAGGGGTACATTAGAGACCTCCATAACAGTAAAATTCACCGCGCCATCACATTACACCCCAACAAAAACCCGCCCTACCAGTACAGACTGCACAGCTACATGCTGAGCCGCAGGATCGCCGAGCTGAGGCACCGCACGATCCAGCTGCACCGGGAGATCGTGCTGATGAGCAGATACAGCAACACAGAGGTCCACAAGGAGGACCTGCAGCTGGGCCTGCCCCCTTCCTTTATGCGCTTCCAGGCCCGCCAGCGCGAGGAGATTCTGGAGTGGGAGTTTCTGACTGGAAAGTACTTGTATTCTGCTGCCGACGGCCAGCCCCCCCGGAGAGGAATGGACTCTGCCCAGAGGGAAGCTTTGGACGACATCGTCATGCAAGTGATGGAGATGATCAACGCCAACGCCAAGACTCGCGGGCGCATCATCGACTTCAAGGAGATCCAGTACGGCTACCGGCGCGTGAACCCCATGTATGGGGCAGAGTACATTCTGGACCTGCTGCTCCTGTACAAGAAGCACAAAGGGAAGAAGATGACGGTGCCTGTGAGAAGGCACGCATACCTGCAGCAGACCTTCAGCAAGATCCAGTTCATGGAGCACGAGGAGCTGGACGCGCCGGAGCTGGCCAGCAGGATCAACCAGGACTCTGGCTCCCTGTCCTTCCTCTCCAATTCCCTGAAGAAGCTCGTCCCCTTCCAGCTCCCTGGGTCCAAGAACGAACGCAAAGAGCCCAAAGATAAGAAGATAAACATCCTGATTCCTTTGTCTGGACGTTTTGACATGTTTGTGAGATTTATGGGAAACTTTGAGAAGACCTGCCTCATTCCAAATCAGAATGTCAAGCTTGTCGTTCTGCTTTTCAATTCTGACTCCAACCCTGACAAGGCCAAGCAGGTGGAACTGATGAGAGATTACCGTGTCAAGTATCCAAAAGCTGACATGCAGATTTTGCCTGTGTCTGGAGAGTTTTCAAGAGCTCTGGCCCTTGAAGTAGGATCTTCTCAGTTTAATAATGAATCTCTACTCTTCTTTTGTGATGTTGACCTCGTGTTTACTGCTGAATTCCTACAACGGTGTCGAGCAAATACAGTTCTGGGCCAACAAATCTATTTCCCGATCATCTTTAGCCAGTATGATCCAAAGATTGTTTATAATGGGAAGGTTCCCAGTGACAACCATTTTGCCTTTACTCAGAAAACTGGCTTCTGGAGAAACTATGGGTTTGGCATTACTTGTATTTATAAAGGAGACCTTGTCCGAGTGGGTGGCTTTGACGTTTCCATCCAGGGATGGGGGCTGGAGGACGTGGACCTCTTCAACAAGGTTGTCCAGGCAGGTTTGAAGACGTTCAGGAGCCAGGAAGTAGGAGTAGTCCACGTCCACCACCCAGTCTTCTGTGACCCCAACCTGGATCCCAAACAGTACAAAATGTGCCTGGGCTCCAAAGCATCAACATATGGGTCTACACAGCAGTTGGCTGAGATGTGGCTAGAAAAAAACGATCCGAGTTACAGCAAAAGCAGCAATAACAGTGGCTCCATGAGGACAGCCTAATGTCCAGCTCTGCTGGAAAAGACATTTTTAATTATCTAATTTATTTTTCAAAAAGTTTTTTGTATGATCCATTTTTGAAGTCCAAGGATATATTTTCCAAGTGGTTTTCTTACATAGGACTCCTTTAAGATTGAGCTTTTTGAACAAAAAATGTGATCAGTGTTTGCCTTTGAACACATCTTACTGCTGAACGAGATGTAGCAGGCCTGCTAAAGTCCGACGTGAGACATAGCTGATGAACAAAACTTTTATTGTCCTACATTTTTTTGCAGACTCCTCTGCAGTCCTATGGCAGAAAACATCACCATTCCTACAGAATATTGTTGTAACAGAACACTGTAAGGCTGGTGGATGTTCTCTTGTGACTGTTAACCTTACAGATTCTACCTTTGTTGTGTTTTGTTTTTAACAACAGCTATTTGTTCTTAAAGCCCATTTGTGTTCCATTTGTAAAGAAGGTAATGTGATAGTAGTGGGTCCTCACCTTGTGGAAACTTGGATTCTTCCCCCTTAGCTGTGCGCCACCCATCAAGGCCAGGAAGGTGTCTGTGAGTGAGGGGCAAGAGGAAAGTGCAGCGAGACTGGTGGCGGCTTTTCTGCAGCTCCTCCGCCCCACACACACCTGGTGTGAATTCCAAGAAGGGCCGGGCATTCTCCTCTCTTCCCGACCCTTCTCTTTAGAGGGTAAAATATTGATATTTAGAATGACAAGGAAGAATTATTGTAATAATCCTAATGTATGCAGGCTAAACAAACAAAAGCACCCTAATGAAAACATTGGGGGAAACATACTTGGTTTTGTTTGCCTCATCTTGTCTGTAAAATTGGTGGAGATAGTTACTTCATTCCTTAATTGCTGTTTTGTTTTATCCTTTGTATCTGAAGTACCTTTAATTTATTTAATATCCATGACTTAGGACTCTGGCATTCTGAATACCCGTCACTAGTATTTATATGTACCAGGAGTGTGGTTAGTATGTTTTATTTGCAGTATACCGATCTCCAAAGACTTCCTTTTGAAAGTACTTTTCTGTCTCAATTTTTACATTCCTATTTTACTAAAATATAAAGTGTTCTTGGACAATTTTGGTGCTCATGTGTTTTGGGGACAACAGTGAAACAAATCTGTCATTACACCAGAATGTTTGTTTTCAACTCACAGATCAAATGTGCCTTAATAAATTTTTTTTTCATTTAGATTTCAAGCAGTTGATAGACTTGCCATTTTAATACACATCACTGGAGATCAGCTTATTTGTAAATAGCCTGTTGTTCATTTGGAAAAATAAACCAGTGGACAGTATTTTTCTATTGTACTTTGCAGAACCATTCTGTCTCATTATTCCTGCTTTATTGGAAGAATAATATGTGACATTGACTTTGAAGTGGCTCTAACTCTGTTTTTTTCCTACAGTGAACTTGTCTTTTTGTTATTCATCAGCTTGCTGACTCTGGCTCCTGAAAACAGAGGTCTCCAAGTCAGTCCAGGCTTCTCTGGCTCCTGAATACAAATTCTCAGACCTTCATGGGCCTGAGAAGTCTGTGTTAGCTAGTGCCCCATGTGGCTTCTGTGTGCAAACGTTCCCACGGTTTTATTACGTGATCCAAAAGCAAAAAAATAATAATTTTTAAAAAGTAGCGTGATCCCTGATGCCAAGACAGCAAGATTTTGTGGACAAGAATTACACTCCTGGGAGAGGTATTTACAGTGTAATGACAGTGAAGTCCAAGCATAATGACATCGTGTTCACAGAAAGAATTGCTGTAATTCTGCCTAATTGCTGTATACTCTGTGGGATTGTTTAGTTTTCTTGGAAAAGAGCAGACATTTTTATTTTTCAGTAAAGATGAACATAATCCACATTCGATGACAAAGTCCTATGAATTCTATTTATCCTAACAGCAGACTGTGGGGATTTGTGAGGACAGGTTGCAGGCAGCACCCTGTTGAGCTAAAGGTCCATCGGGCGTGTTGGTGACTCTTGGTTAAGCTCACCATTTCTTTCCCTGCAGTCCTTTTCCAGCTGTGGTGCTGGTGTCATGGAATGCCACCTCCCCTGGAGCTCTGGGGCTCTTCTCCCCACGCCTTGCTGCTTGCTGGCTCCCAGGATCCACTTGCTTTGCTTCATTTCACTCCAGAGCCCTCTGGCCAGAGTGTGAACTCTGTAGCCCCATTAGCACCTGCCCCTCCTCCACCAGGCCCCCACCTTCTTGCCCTTCATCCCCACAGGCCCCTGCAGGGCCCTTGCTCCTGGTTGTGGGGTTTTCATCTCTGCTGCTCGGGTACCTGCTTTCCCCTACAGCTTGTTAACACTGGAGCCAAAACGCCCATTGTCTACCCGAGTGCCATTGTGGACCCCTCCTGTGTAGAAGAGGTTTGTTGGGCTGAGTCCTGTGCTTGAGCAGTAACCTCGCCCTCACCAGAGCCCTGGAGGACAAGCCTGGCTCCTCTGTGTGTGTTGAGAATCATGGTGCCTATCCTGCCCTCCCTGCCACTCAGCCTCCCAGCAGGTGCTCTCTGGCATCTCCATTGTGGGAGACCTTGTAGGGAAGCTCCATGTGTGTGTGCATACACGTGTGTGTGTGTGTGTGTGTGTGTGTGAATTATGATAGATTAGATACCATTCTTTAAAATTTGTGTGCACAAATGAGGTGCTGGCTTAGGTGTATACACCCTGGCGAGTCCCTGACAGCCTCTTGAGCTGCAGTGCAGAAGGAGCCCTGGCTCCTTTGGCTCTGAGGAAGTGTGGGTGGCGGCAGGGCCCACCAGCTTCCTGAGGTTGTTGGGCACAGAGGAACCCTGCCCAGGAGAAGTGAGCACGGCCTTGTCTTGTGGGCAGATGGTACTGGCAGGCACTGCCAGCCTATTCCTCATTTCCAGAAGGCAGCATCCCTGAGCTGGCACTGGTGCCCTGAGCCAGGATGACACCAGAGCAAGGACATGGCCCTAGCACCCCAGGCATTACACAGCACAGTTCATGCAGGAGTCCCTAAGGCAGACCTTCGTAGTGAGGGGGGCTGTTGCCTTTGCTGGGTTTGAGAACAGGAAGGGGAAGTGGAAGGCCCTTCATGGGCTGTTGCTGATCAAGTACCGGAGCCCACAGGGCGCAATCTGGGTCTCCTTCCTGTCCAATCCTCAGCCACGTCCTACCTTACAAAGTTCTTCAGGTCTGGGCCTGACTGCATCCAAGGAAAGATGTGTGGTTATCCCCAGATTGCAGGTGCAAGGGCCACGCTTGACAACACTGTCACTTACCCTGGTGTTTGACTCAATGTCGGTAACAGTTGCACTTTGCCTCCTTCCTGTGCCCTGGAGGGATCACCTGGAGGCTTGGATTTTTCTTTGCAGCTATCCCCACTGAGTAGTCTCAGTGTGTGCCTGGAATCGAACTTGTGCAAGTGAGTCACAGTTGCCATACCCTGTCTCTTACATTAAGGTGACCAACAGGCTTTCAGACCCATCCCCCATTGCTGGGGTCTTGCCTTTCTCCAGGAAGGGCACACACCTGCAGCACTCCTGTCCACTGGACATTAGGGAAGGGGCTCTGCCTCAGCGCCTGTTAACTAAGGTCTCCTCTGTGCTTTCTGTCAAGGCCTCCCTAGGCCTGCACAGACACCTGTGCTGGGGGATTAGGCCGCATTACTGCGGCGCGAGTGCTATAATCTGCTGCAGAGGAGCTTATGTGCCACGCGACCAGGGAGTCAGGTGGGCATCTGGTTACGGCCACTGCACTCAGCCTTCACTCACCTACGTGGACCCCATGTTACTTTGCGAGCCCTTGAAGAGGATGCCTCTGTTTCACTTGAGAGGCCAAAGCGCTTAGCAAATCGGCTCAGTCTGGCTTGTTATAAAGGCAGTGAAGAGGCAACGGTCACAGTGTAATGGATCAAGTTACAGCAACTCATCCTGTCTGACTTCCACTAGGAAGAGAAGTACTTGGTGGTGGTGGCACCAGCGCTCTGGTAGGCTGAGGCAGGAGGACTGCAAGTTGAAACCCAGCCTTGGGCAATTTATTAAGACCTTGTTTTAAAATTTAAAAGGGGGTGGAGGAGTGGCACAGAATACAGTTCAGTGTATAATGCCCAGTACTGAGCAAAAAGAAAGTTCTTATATTAGTTTTCCTGTGCTTCAAGTTTTGTGTGGTCTTTTGTAGGGAAGTAGGAGTGACCCAGTTAGTATGAATCTTCAAACAGAAACTATAGGGCCAGTCAGACTAGGGGCTGATTGTCACTGGTGCGATTAAGCCCCTTAAATTATCTGTTGTTAGATATTTTTACACGTGTTTACCATTGATTATACTCTTGAGTGTCATGTCCTCCTGATCCAGACAATGGGTTTTTGTCCTGTGAAAAACATTCTTAGGCCAGGTGTGCTGGCTCGTGCCTGTAATCCCAGCACTTGGGAGATGGAGGCAGGAGGATCGCTGCGAGTTCCAGGCCAGCCTGAAATGCTAAGTGAGCTCAAAGCCACCCTGAACAACATATTGAAACCCTGTCTAAAAAAATTCTAGCTACATATTCTGTAGATTTGTGAGTAGTTGTGCCTGACTGCTTTTTAATGAGAACATATAATGGGAAATTGGTCAGATCATTTGGTAGTATAAATTAAGGAGGCTGTATCTGCTTTAGCGAGGCCGGTGTTACATGTAAGGAGTGGCACTGTGCCACAGTTAGTTGGGAAGGCTCTTGTTATGTAACGAAATGAGAATCGTGGCTCTGCACATCCTGTAGTCAGAAGCTAGAAATGAACTATTTCTTAAAATGTACTTCGCTCCCGTAGTATTGAGAAGGAAGCATTTTGGATGTTTGAATGAATTCTAGTTCCTCCATTATAATGTAACAATGTAACCCCAGTATGTGCAGCTTATCGAGCTGACCTGTATCTTCACTGCATCCACAAATTCAACCAACCTTGATTAAAAATTATTTTCTTGTTATTCCCTAAACAAAACAGTGTAACAAGTGTTCACACAGCATTTGCATCATATCAGTTGTATGGCATCTAGAAATGGTTTAGAACATAAAAGATGTGCATTGGTTATGTGCAAATACTCTGCATTTATGTAAGGCACTTGAGCGTCTGGGTTTTGGTACTGAGAGACCTGGAACCAATCTGCCGTGGATTTGAAGGACAGTAGTATAGATAGGGGAGGAAAGGACCAGTCTCACCACTGTGTTCCTACTTAGGCAAATTCTTTGGGAGATTTTGGATGGATGGATGGATGGATGGATGGACAGAGTGAGTATTGTGATAGGGTATAATTTAACATCTTGCTCTTTTTTTCCCCCTCTTTAACAACATACAACATCTCTAAAGGCTACTTTCTTTACCTAGAGGTGAAGATTCCCCTAAACTACAGCATCTCCAGTATCTTGTTCCCTCATCTTGACTAAGGCCTTTGAGAGTGTATTTTGTACAGAGTCCTTTTGTATTTTAGTCACCTGGTAAATGACTTATCTGCGACCGGGACTGAGTGACTTTGGTATTTGATCATTCCTGATGAGTAATGAGGTAATGGGATGGGTAGTGGGGTCCTGGTTGAGTTTCTAGTCTCTTGTAGCTAATAAAGAATTGGATGTGGCATGGTGCTGAGAGTGAGCAGGCTTGCACCAGTAGAAAGGCAAGTGGCACAAGTGCTTGAGGGTGTTGGGTTTGAAACTTTAAAATGTTGTGCAGGGTCTTGGCTGCCTCCCAAAGAGTCTTCCAGAACATGATTGACTGCATGACTGCCAGGGTGCTGAATCATGTCAGCAGTATCTATATCAGTAACACAGAGTCACTCCCCCAGGCTAGCCCCCTGCTCCTTTGTCCTCAGGCCTACTGCTTGGAGACCAAGATAGCCTGCTTTGGAAAATGGCATGTCCTTTCCCATAATTTATTCTGATATATATGTTTAGTGTAATTGGTATAGGGGTCTCACTGCGTAGCTCAGACTTGTAGTGATCCTCCTGTTTTCAGCCTCCCCAGTACTGGTATCTCAGGCATGCGCCACTGCGCCAGGTCTTGGTAGCAGGCTCAGGGCATGAGGGCGG